ATCTGTAGATATAAAATAGCATTTTGTAACAGTAATATGATAATATGTGTATAAAAATGTCCACACAGGATAGATAGATAGATAGATAGATAGATAGATAGATGGATGGATGGATGGATGGATGGATGGATGGATGGATGGATGGATGGATGGATGGATGGATGGATGGATGGATGGATGGATGGATAGAAAGATAGATAGATAGATAGATAGATAGATAGATAGATAGATAGATAGATAGATAGATAGATAGATAGATAGATAGATAGATAGATAGATAGATAGATCGATAGATCGATCGATCAAATTCCCTGTTAGCACTCAGGAAGTAAGGCTGCCTGAATAATTCCAACGTCCCGAACGGGTCTTTAGAGTTCAGGGCCCAAAACTATTCTTTGATCGTTTTAGATTTCCCTCCATAAGCAGTCCTTTGTGTCTAGTGTGCTACTTTGGACAAGTGCTGGCCCACGGCTGCCTAAATGAGGTTATTCTGTTTCTCCCACTCACTGTAAATTTCAATAATTTGTTTGAGAGGCCTCTCTCTCTGTCACTTTTTATCATATTATCAATGACCACTCAATTTTCCCCCGGCTGCTCATATAGCGTGGCTCACCCCGGCCCTATTACTGTTCTGTAATGAAGTGCAATGGAGTAGTAATTGGTTCACATTATACCAGATCAGGTAACATTAGCCTTATTTCCTTATCGCAGTGAGCCCTGCTGCTGCCTCTCAATGAGAAACTCAACACAGCTTCCCCTTGCTTTAATGCACGGGTATCATCCAAATAACATTTCAGCCCGTCCAGCAACCCCCTAGTCCTGTTCCAGTTTTCTGTTTCAAGATTGCTCTCTGCATTTAACTAAGCGATTGCTGCTTGTCTGCCGGTTCCTTCTGCTTGAAAACTCCCCAAAAGGCAGCAGCCATTAGAGATGCAGATACAGGGATAGCTTTTCCCGGCTCTGGGGGAAGTACAGTAAGTGAGAAGGTAATATAAGCGAGAGCCTGTAAGATGAGTGGGGCTGTACAGTGCCCGGCTGGCCCTGTTTTCTTTCAGGCCTGTATGTGCATCCTTTGTTCTGTTATTTGTGTTGCTACCTAACCTAAACAGGAAGGGCTGTTGGAGAATAAAACGTTAATCATTTAACATGGAAAGAATTTCCTATCCGCAATAAGTTCAGTGCTTCTCATATGTTGCCAGGGTGCGCTCTCTTGCTCAAAAACAACATTGAGCACAATAAAGATGGGGTTTCATGTCCAAAAATACTAATAAATGAATACATTGATATCGAAAACTTAACTATTGCTGTGTTCACAGTGTCATTTGCCATAAATAAAGCTCTAAAGTATGCTTTTGAATCGCTTTCACGGTACTTTGACGTCATACAATAGGTCTGCACAGCACCACTTCAAGTCGAACACACCTTAAATGTGCACTGCAGTATGTAATATTGACAGTTTGTGGTTGGAATGGGCACTGCAGGCCAAATTCAAAATATTGAGAGAGTCGTTTCCTCAGACTCAAGGCTCACGCTGGCTACCAGATTGACACATAACATGAACGAGCGCAGTTGACAATGTGTAAGTTAATTAGTTTGCAATGCTTCTTTGCCGATGCTTTTTAGGTCAGGTAGAATCTGCAATTTCTGACCCAGTTCCATGCATGGCTAAAATATTGCCTATTGTGTTTCACGCAAACCGGGTTTAAATATTTTTTGGTAAACTAGCAGGTAAACACGGAAAGCACATTTCAAAGTAGAATAACTACAGTACTTGTCTCATTGTTTGGAAGTTCTTTAAGCACATGAACCGTAAGTAACCGTACTAAGAACCGTATTAAGAACCGTACTCCATTCCAAGGTGGAAATTTTGCATGAATTCATACAATGTGAATCATACAAAACCAATTATTAGATTAAAGCATTAAGGTCCACCCCAGCCTTACCCCTAAACATACGTGTCTCTGATCGTATGAAAAATGTATGAATGAGCCATAAATTTGACAAAATGTCAATTAATTGCCATGAGAATCTCGGGACGCCACCAGCACAGCTAACTGTCTTAAAAATATATTACTCTTTTCCCACCATTGACAGAATCAGTCAGTATACAGAATCTCCGAAATAACGTGATCATCAACATTAAACATTATAAATCAAAACTGTCTAATGGATGAGGTAGCCTATAGGACTGTGCAACCTTAGGGGTGTTGATGGAAATGTTTTGATCATCGTTCTGAATCCAATCTGGATGTAGGCTAGTCTTTGACAAAAACACTATTATTTTCAGAACTTGAGTAATGTTCTGGCAAGGTTCTCTCAACATTATGAAGTAATGTTAATAAAAATGTTCATCTGAAATGAAATGTTCATCAAAAAGTCAGCTGGTCTCAATACGTTAGCATAAACATATTAATGTTCATGGAGACATTCATAACATATATATATATATATATATATATTTTAAATGTTTCTGCATGTTTCGGAATGTACAAAGAACATTCAAACATCCCTTTTAATATTTACAAATAATAATAATAATAATACATTTAAAAAATTGGACGTTTTGAACGATCAGAGAGCGCACTTTTGTTGTTTGAAAATGTTGTTAAAAGAAACTTTTATTAATAACAAAAAAATGCTACATTTGAAAACCTCCTGTTTTGACTTTACAGACTAATCCTAAACTTGACAGCACTGTTGTTTTAGCAGTTGTCGACACATGCTTCAAATGTGGATGTGACATTAATAATAGGTGTAAAAAAACAGTAGCCTATGTGATTACACATAAGGATCTTTTCTTTATTGATACAATCCTGAGAGGTTTACAAAGCATTTAACCTCACCCAGTACAACTACACATGTACATATTTAATGAGCAGTCCTCTGCCAAACATAAACAGGTGTCAAGTGCAACACACTCACCTGTGTTGATGTTCACAGGTACAGTTTACAGATAAAGGGACTCATATAACATTTCATGTCCTTGATCACCAAGACACCTTTTTAAATGCTCAAATTGTTCAAAATATCATTGATGACATCTTGCCTTACTACTCAAAAAGGAGCTGATTATATCAGCTGATGATCATAGTTCATTATTTATCTATGCAGATTTGTTTTTATTGACCCATTATAAGGTTTAAATATAAAACATAAAAAGTTTAGCCTCTTTCATGTGGGCCTCAAGGCAAGCTCCCTTTCAGTATTAACGCAGCCCATAGCATGCACTCAGAGGAAAATGGAACAGGATATTGGATAACAAGGTTAAAATACAGGAGCAAATATTCTCTTATTAAAGTCCAACAGCAGGGATTTGATCTGAGCTTCCTAATAGGCAGTGGTTTAAAGAGGGACCAGAGGGAAGGTAACAGAGGGGTCAGGGTTTTGCTGTCTAATGGTGGAGATTGGGAAAAATTAAGGGACTTTATTTCCACAGGAAATTCTGATGAAAGGTGGATTATGGATCACAGTGGTCTTCCCAATCCAGTAATGTGCTCGGGCCTGCATTTATTAGAGCATACGTAAAGCTGACTGTGCTTTATTGTTACACAGGGAGCAAGGCGAGTACAAAGCAGATCAAAGAAGATAAGTCAGGTCATGCTTTATTTGTCCTCGTGTTTCCATGCAATATTTCATGTAGGCCCTATGTGTTTTTTTTTTCTTCTTGGTTGCCATTCTAAAATACTGTTTTTAGAATTACATACAATTTTAAAATTGACACTAAAAATACTCAAGACAGTCCTATAAACTATTTGCACAGCCATTTGAAAACTACATTACAGTAAAGTTTCACATTACTGCATTTAGTGAGGTACAGTAACTGAGTACAAGACACTGAATGTATGTTTCACATTTTTACTGCATGGTCTTTGCAATTCTAATTTGTTCAGAGCATTGTGCAAAAGAAAAAAATACACCCTTATTTACAACAAACATAAACTCCCTTTGGGTAGATCGGTGCACAACAGTACAGTAAACAATACCACAGTACATATTGGAACTGAACATACAACATACATATACTGTAAATCATTCATGCACATCACCTGAGGTTCACCTGCGAGACATTGTTCAATTTAGGATTAAAAACGTTTTTTTTTTTTTTTTTTTTTTTTTTTTTAAAAGAGATTTTGACAACTAGTTTAACATTTTTGTATGTGATTACTCAAGTAATGAAATGAGGACTATTAGTTTTATATGGAATGACTATTCAACATTCACAAGTAGTTAATTTGGACTGATATGTCATAAGCAAATGGTAATGTTTTAAAACAGCAGCGAGTATATGAAAGCAATTGATGCATGTCCAAAAGCATTTGCAATTTGTTGGAAGGAATGAGAAACTGCTACTATCATGTGCACAAATGACTAAATGTTGTGAAGGTTGGACTAAGCAAATGTAAATAGTGATGTGAGAAATGCACCAAATCAACTGAGAAAAACTGTAAGCTGATTCTCCCAAGATGTCCAGCCATGTGTATGCTCTGCTGCCCTCTGGTGGATTCATCTGTGAGCTGGAGCTAAATCATGTTAAAGATTTCCGTGAATTGTGTTCAGTGTTCCACCTAGCTCATTCTGTTAACTTTGTGTCACTATTCTGAATCGTAGGCTCTAACTGACCTTCTCATTCCAGCATTTCCCAAAATTCACTTGTACTTAGTTTCACATTAAGAGACACATTATAGAGAACATACACAGACTTTATTACAAAGCCTGATTGTAATGAACCCACATGGGACAATGTCTCACTATCCACTCCTTTAAATACCACCTCTAAAATTGGCCTGGAGAGGAAGTGGTATGTGAGTGTGCTGTCACAGGTGGCAAGCAGCACTATGACAGATGCGTCAGCAACAAGTCAAGGTAAATGCCATTTATCTCTGGCAGGATCGTGACTCTGTGACCCACCCATGTGATCTGCTTTCACTAGTAGTGAAGTATGAGCTCCTTAAAATCTCTCCTGCTGGAACATCTAGTTGCAAATTACCCTCTAAGGATTTGTGAAAGCAACACAAACTCAGTCTGACAACTCAGTCCAACACTGTGATGTGAAAGCTCAGTGTCAGGTAAGGTTTGTTCTCTTTGACCTTTTTTTCCTAAAATGTCAACGTTTGTATGAATTCCCATGTATTTTGTTGTCCTTTTCTCAACAAGACATGCAAAAAAATACCCAGGATCTTCTTGTTAGGCAAAGGGAAGTGATCAGATGTAGACTGAAGAAACTGAATGGCAAGCAAAATGAAATCAAAGTGAGTAAAAAGACTCTCATAAGAGACTCGCGAAAACAATTCGTGAAAGATGTTTGAGGAGTCGTATTAACTGCTTAGGAAAATTTGCAATATTTGAAAGTAGGAAAATTAGATACACATGTTGTATTTTTTATGGATTGCCCAGTTTTTATTGAGCATCTAAAACATTTGTCCATCTTTCTCAGTCCAAGTCCTCTGCAGTCAGAGAGAATATTGTGAAGAAGTATGAAGAGATGCGGAGAGTTCTGGAAGAGGACTGTAGAATCACTCTATCCCTGCTGGAGATGGAGGAGACGGCTGCGGTTCAAGCACTAGACAACCTCATTGAGACTAACTATGACCTCCTCAAAGACATTGAGGTCCAGCTCAATGAAGGGATGGCGGACATACAGCCTGGTGACAGGGTGAGCTTTTGAAGCAATTGGTTGGACAGATCCACTGTTGTGGACTCTTTTTGTTTATTTTCACCTGCCATGGATCTCAGAAATTCGGCTAATGTTCTGGCAAGGTTATTTATAAGTTCATGAGAACAAAGGTTCAAATGACTAATACATGGTGAAACCTACAATCCTTGCAACATAATACATTTTCACTGTAATTCTGCCTCTCTCTCTTTCTCCCTCTCTCTCTCCATCATAGGTCACAATGTATGAGGACAGGTATGTATATTTAGAACCGCACTAATGAGAGATTGTCACCATTTCAGGCATGCTAGATGACTCATCTGCAAAGGCTTCATTGTTGTAGAGATCATGTTTGACACCATCCTTTTCAAGCAACAGTTTATTTAAAGGTGCGTCTTGAATGAAACACTGCTTAGCATCCTGAAAAAAATATCACTTTATTTTGATGGTCCCGTTAACACATTCTGTTGACTATAAGTCTGTTGACTATAAGATTAACTATAAGAAATCTAAATAACCCTCAACCTTTTTATATAAAGAAGTGTTATGGTGCTGATATAATGTGAATATACTTTTGTTGGCAGGGTGCTGGAATTGCTAACAGCAACAAACCCTGGTCTCATAAAACTTGACGAGGCGAAATCAGATCAGCTACTGGGTGTCACCAACAATTTACTACTGTTTATTCGCTCCCAGGTCCCGATTGCCAAGAGGCTTCTGAAGGGCTGTGAGTTATTGTGCAATAACACATAAAATAATTACTTGCACCAAATGAATGTTACTTTTTTTAGCTCACTGACAAACAAATTACAATAAGCGTACAATACTTCCACAGGTTATTTTAAACCCATTAAAAACGAGTCTAGTTTTAAACCTATCTTCATTTCGCTGATTCCTCAGGAGTGGTCCTGGACCCTTCCACTGCCCATCCCAAGCTGATTATTTCATCTGAAGGCGACTGTGCCACTTTCACAGATGTATGGCAGGATGTCCCTGAGCATGAGGGCCGCTTTGACACCACCCTTAACGTCTTGAGCGTCCAGTGTTGGGATTCTGGCTACTTGGAGGTAGATGTGAGTGGAAAGATCTACTGGGAACTTGGTCTTACCTACCAATCCATCCCCAGAAAAGGCCAAAAGGAGGACTGCTGGTTGGGCCGGCATGCTGAATCTTGGTGTCTGGAGTACTTTGATGGAGACTACACTGCCTGGCATGGAGGTATTGCTCATTCTTTGCCCATTTCCTCATGCTTTCATCGGATTGGGATCTTCTGCAGCTTTCCTGGAGGTCTGGTGACATTTTTAGGAGTGGATAGCATGACACCGCTGTATTCATTCTGTGCTGGGGCTTTCACAGACTCTCTACACTTTGCTGTTTGTCCAGGACATGATCTTCATGGAACAAACTTAAAACCTATAAAGATCTGTCAATCCTAACCATCTTTAAAAACCCATTCCTAGCACTTGGAAGACCAAGTAGTTCTCCCTTGGACAGATTTGTTTGATTTGGTGCTCGAGAAACATTTCTTATTAATATCAATTTGAAAAACAGTTGTACTGCTTAGAAGATAGAAATCTTTTTGTAACATAAATGTATTTACTGACACTTTTGATCAATTTAATGCACCATTTCTAAAAAATGTATATAAAAAATGTAACTGACCGCAAACTTTTGAATGGTAGTATAACTAGCTTAGCCTGGCGGAAAGCCAGACCTACATCAAGATGTTAGGTCTGGGAACTCACAATTGGCATACCAAAAATCCGACGGCCGGGATGAACGGTTGTCTTTTCCCTCCGCACGCAATAGGATAGCAGCCAACCACGAACAGCTGTGGTTGAGTCCCATGCCCATTTTTCCCACCAGCAGAGCTATAGATATATTAAACTTTTACCGTATCTTCCTTTTTTAAGAATGACTTAAGTGACGTTTTCTTAACTCCAAGTCCTCCAGAGTCACGGCCAAAGCCAATTCGAAAGACCGCTGTTCACCATCAGCATCTTGTTTGTTTTCAAGTAGCAGGGAAATAAATCACAAGGAAACGTCACAACTCTACCGTCATTGTGTTAAGCCCGCCCACCAACTCTTTACATGATGTGATTGGCCTGACCAGAGTTTGGTTTTTCCACTTCGAAAGCCAACGGAGAGTTGCTAGACAACACTGGCTGCAAAATATTTTTTTCTGCCGCTAGGGTGTGTCTCGATTTCTGTGTTATAGCTAGCTTAAGGCAAAAAACACTTCTTGTTTGTGATAGCAAGCTATACGGACACTAGAAATCAATATCAGCAAGGACACATTAAATTGGTCAAAAGCTGGAAGATATTTCAATGGTAGCGGTCTTACATTGTTTATTTTAAGTATGTATCCCCATGGAGAGACAAGGTTTCATTGATGCATCAAAAGAATAATCTAAAACGCTATAATAAAAATGTAGATCAGAGTACATGACAAAAACCCATGTGGTTGTGGTTCATCTTTAATGGACATGCTACTGGCTCCCAGCTGTTTTTTCATTGATCCAGTCCAAGTATTTAAGAATTCTGGTATAGACACCAGGCTTGTTCTTCTCTCCACAGTTGTCTCCCCAGCTCACTATACCATAGACATAGTGTATTTGATCCTTCTGACAGGTGAGAGGCCCACCAGAGTCACCCTGTCAGGAAGAGATAATAATGACATCTCACAACGAAATGATTACTTTTCTTTCCAATTTTTAAAAATGTCATTCTAGTTACAGCAGCACCAGCTCCTTTCAATATTTATAATGTAAAACCACATTATACAGTTAAAATGATGACCCACCTGACAGGAGTCCACTCCTCCCTTGAGATAGCCTGCACAAAACATGCCGTCATCCAGCAAAGCCGCATACACTTTATTGCTTGAACAAGCCTCCTGAGAAATCAGCAAAACCTGTGCGTCAAGCAAATGCATGGAGCCATACTCTGCTACAGACAGGAAGGGAAAAAGAACACATTTAGTCTTTTCATCAATGAACCTTCAACACAAACTCAAAACTCAGACATATGGAGATGTACATGTCTCTGTGGCTCCCCATCCTGAAATGCTGCATTCTGCTCCATCTGCAAAAGGTTCTTTGGGCAAGCAGGCAGCTTTCACAAACTGAGTTTCCTTAGCACATTCTCCATTAGTAGCTTTCAGTTTTAATAGAGCTGTATCACAGGAAAGAGTGAAAATTAGAAATGCAAGATAATAAAAACATTATAGACCTTCAAAATAATTTGTGGCGCTTCTCACCAAATAGCCAGATTAGAATTGCAACAACATTAATACACTTTTGTTTTGAAGTTCTTATTATTGTCAGGCTTTTATTTTGAAGATCTTGTGTATTTTAATGCCTAAATAAATAAAGACTCCCACAATAAAAGGATGGTGATGGACTCAATCTACTCCATCTACTGGATGTTTTGATCATCTTTCTGAATATGATCCATAGTAGTCTTTGACAAAAACACAATTTTTTGTTTAAAATGTTGCTTTATTTATGAAACTTGCATTCAAGTGATGATAAAAAATAAAAGAATGCATGAAGCTAAAATAAAAACAGGGGCTTAGTTCTTTATTTTTATTTATATCATGTTCAGATATTCATGCAACACAACATTCTGGGAGCCATGAAAGTTTTGTGAAAAATATCAAAAAATGCTAGCTGGCAACTTAAAACAACAACAACAACAACAACAACAACACAAAAACACTGACGGGCAAAGAGTTAAGACCCTGTTTTTTTGTGCATAGAAATGTCTAAAATACACACCAATATCATTGTAGACGACATCAGGAGTTTCCCTGTACTTCTCATGGATGATAGCATCCTCCACCAGCACCGTCTGGTCTGTTGGCTCCTTTTGAACTAGATTTAATCCTCCCAATACTACACTGTAATCATGATTTTTATCCCTGTATACACAACAAAAAGGAAATAAAAATCATGATTACAGTGTTGTATTGGGTCAATTAAATAATGCAGAAAATAATGCAGAAAAATTACATTTCAGATGTCTTGTATTGCAAGTGTAAAGATTTTTCCACATTAGAAGTAAAATGTATTATTGAGAGCTCATATTCATTGATTTAGAATGACATTGAGACAATAAATCATAATGATAACTGTTAATTAAATGCAGTGAAATAACAACTAAAGCAGTTAACAGTTACTATGGATTGAAAAAGCAAGGATGGGGCAAAAATAACATGATGTTACGTTTACACAATGCTGTCCAACTAACACTCACCCAATATGTAATTTGGAGAAAAGCACACATACCACCGAAAAAGCAAACCAGACAGCAGACAAATTACCTTGTTTAAAGTTTGTATTACCTTGTCATTTTGCACACATTCAAAGCAACTTTGTCAGGTGCGCAAAGGTGATTGCTTGCCAGATTTAAAGCTATTCAGATTTTGTCACCTATTTTTTAATATTGAACTAAAGAACATACTTACACACAGTGGGCTGCAGTCAACACCCAACAAGGCTTGATAAGGGTGCCTCCACAGATGTGTCTGTAGGCCTGGACGGATCCTTTAGGTTTGATCTGTACTGATACTTGCCATGGATGGGCTCCAGGAATAGCTTTAAGACCCCCATAAATCCGGTTCAGTTGTTTTTTGGGTTCCGGTTTACCGCAGGTAAGAAAACTCTTTGGTAAAGTAGCATTTTTAGTTGGTGTGGTTGGTGGGGCTGCAGTAGTGATTATTTGGGCTGAACTGGTGCTCTCTGGGGTTGTGCTGGCATCTGGTAGGTGACATTTTTGGAAAAGATTTGTATCGATTCAGAGTGTGATATTGCTACAATAAAACAGTGAAGTAAACACTCCGCCACAAAAATAGTTCCAAACAAAGCCAGTCTCAACAGCGAGTCTCTGGACAACACAAAGCAGCGGTGTTTTGTTTCTAAATGAAGGTGCATTCATGCTAATTACCATTGTTTAAGGACATTTTGTGGCCAATATTTAAATAGGAATCTGCGGGATTGGGAGTTTTGAGTGTAAGGGTGAAGAAGTTCCCCATACTCCCCATTCCCCTTTCTCTCATGTTCAAATTGGTCATGTGAATACGCCACATTGACAGCAAAATGCTTGGTTTGAAATTGAAAGTGACTTCTGAGCTGTGCTCAATCCATCACTACTATTGACTGTTGTTAAACGAGTTCACCCCGAAATTAAAATACAGTCATCATTTACTCCCCCTAAAGTTGTTCCAAACTTGTATGATTTTCTTTCTTCTGCTGAACACAAAATAATATATTTTGAAGAATGTGGGTAACCAAACTGGCCCAGGGCCACATTAACTTCCATAGTATGGAGGAAAAAATAATATGGCAGTCAATGGGGCCCATTAACTGCTTGGTGACCAACATTCTTCAAAATATCTTCTTTTGTGTTCAACAGAAGACGGAAATTACTACAGGTTTGAAACAACTGGAGGGTGAGTAAATGATTTTTGAGTAAATTAAAATTTTTGGGTGAACTATCCCTTTAAGGCCCTTAACTATCCCTTTTTATTATTATTATCATTATTATTAATAATAAGACGGATCAGTATTTTACTTGGTAAAGCAAAACAATGATCATAATTTAAAAGGCAGATAGTTATTTTGTATGTTGTTAAAGACATGAAGTTGATTCAACATACAGTACAACTCTCAAATAATCACAGGGATGTTGCTAATGTTGTGTTATGATCAAATCGGTTTAATGAATAATGTTTGTTTTTTTAATGCATAAAAAAATCTGAAAAATCCCTTCCATGAATACAGTGGAAACTGAAAAGACAAACTGCTGTTTGGCTGTATCATTACTATTGGAACGTCACAGCCAATCAAATAAAATAAAAAACACATTTTTTTTTTATTATATTCTTGATTCAAAGCCTCAATAGAACACAATTTATCACTATGATACTGCTTTGTCATCAGTCTTAGACATGGCACGTGGCTAACAATGAGGAAGTCTTACCTGTCGTAGCTGGTATGGTTGGTTGGAGAGTAGTTACTGGTGTGGTGGGTTGAGCTTTAGTGGTGGTGGTTGTCACCATTTTTGTGGTAGTTGTTGCTGTGAAAAAAAAGTAATAGCTGAATTACTGGCAAAACTAAAGGGGGAAAATTTGTATGCAGATTAACTTTATACATCTGCTGGCTCAGAGAGGGTTCAAAGATATTAGATTAATTTATTAATTCTAGTGACTCTAAAGGCCATAAAGCTGCTGTATGTTAGTGTTGTTGAGTTGGAGATCTTGATGGAAAAACATCAGATTAAAAACCACACTGTGACTTTATTATCAGTCTTACCAAGTGTGGGACATTTTCTGACAGAACAATAATCCCATCGAAGTTTCTTGTTCTTCTTTACAAAGCACCATGGTTTCTTATCTCCATCAGGGTTTCTATGATACAGAGGGATGAAGGGTTTGCATTTGAGATGATTACAGGTCTGTTGCTGATCGGTGTGTTTTTGACATGTGGGACATGAAGTGAAATCAAAAAGTCTAAGACCACATTGGAAATAAAAAGTTATCAAATAATTTAAACCTGTGAATAGACAAAGTGTTTTCAAAAAACTATTTATAGGTCTCTAGTTAAATATGTAAATCTCTGGCTTTTGGTCCCCATGTGTTTTTAACCTGCAGAAGTTATGCTGCCCCAGGCCTTCACCAGATGCAAATGAAGTAGCAGGAAACAATCCTTTATCCAGAATGAACTCAGAGTTCCAGTCGAGACATTCGTCCCCCTCTTCAGTCACTGACACCTTTCCTCTGTATGACTGTCCATCTCCCTCATAGCAGTCATTCGGGTCTGAGGATAGTCACAGCACACTATTGTGTGTTCATGTTGTTGTCATGTTGGAATAAACCATAAAAAAGGAAATGATATCACAGAAAAGACCCTTCTAAATCCTAATAACAATGTGCCGAAGTTAGTCTTGGTTCAGATTCATGCGTCATGATATAAACCATTCGTGATTTAAAAGATAATACCAATACATTTCTTTTTACCTTGAAAAATAACCTACATTTTGTTGAAACTAACTCACGAAACTAACATGTTTACAATTTTTTTTTCTTTCTTGGCACATTTGTTTTAGACGACTTGCAAGAAACTTGCAATTTGCGTCTTAAAGATCTTTTTTTGGTTATTCACCAATATAATAAACATTTATAAGACTAAGATTGCGTTCTGAGAAAAAAATAATAATAAACAGACAAACTATATATATATATATATATATATATAAAATAACATGCTAATTAATGCTAATGCTAATTTAGAATCTAAAATTAATCTAAAAAGAGAAATGCAACATTATGTCAGAAAATATACTCACCGACTTGACAGTATTGTCCACTGAATCCATCTGTGCAGACGCATTCAAAATCACCCTCATCTGAAACACATCTGCCCTTATTCTGACAAGGGTTTGGTGTACATGGAATGGCTAGACAAAAATAAATAGATAAATCATTAATCGTCAAGTATCGACAACCCACATTTTTAAGAAATATGATTTAGTTGTATTACTTTTTGTCTGAGCATTCTAAACCAAATCTGAATTCCTAAAGTCTGTTTGTTGAGTAACTCTGGCTTAGTACAGCATGAGTTCAGTGCCCAAGTCTTACGTGTTTCGCAGTTTGGAGGTGCAAATGGAGGAAAACACTTGCACTTATAGTAGGGAGGAGATGAGGTGAGAAGACACAGTCCTGTCCCACATGTTCCTCTTTTACAAACCCTTACCCCTAAAAACAAACATCAAAAGCTTCTAATAATGACAAAAAGTATTTGTATATATTGGTTATTTTATAGGCTAGCAGTGTATTATGTAATATAGTGTATATTAGGCCTATATGTTATATTTTGCAGTTGTTGGGAAGTGAGCTCTTACCTCTTTGGCACCTTCTACCTACAAACTGCTTGGGGCATTTGCATTTGAATTTATCTCTTTTTTCCTCACACACCCCGCCATTAAGGCATGGATTTGGTCTGCATTTTCCTGAATTACTCAAAAGGGGAAACATTTATTTAATCACAGTTAGGTGATATCAGTTTGGTATTGCATTTCTTTAACATTATATTTTGGTTTGTTTGTGATTAGACCGAATTTGTTCATATAGGCTACATACCGTTCAAAAGTTTGGGGCTGGTTTTTGAAAGAAGTATCTTCTTCTCTCCAAGACAGCATTTATTTGATAAAAATATACAGTAAAAACAGTAATATTGTGATTTTTTTTAAAAATTACTTTTCTATTTTAATATATTGCAATTTATTTCTGTGGTGGCAAATCTGAATTTTCAGCATCATCATTCAGTGTCACGTGATCCTTCAGAAATCATTCTAATTTGCTGACAAGGTCTTATTATTATCAACGTTGAAAACAACTGTGCTCTTAATATTTTCAGGACTGTTTGATTTGTAGAAAGTAAAAAAACAAACAAACAAACAAACAAAAAAAAAACAGCATTTAATCGAAATAGAAATCCCAACACAGTCTCATGAAAGTGCATAGGCTATCTATACCACGATTGTCATTTATTTTCTCGACTCGAGGCATTTATAAGCCTTTTTTTCGTGCATACGCTACGCACTGAAACCTCCATGATGTCTATGGGTTTAGGGGGAAGGGGGGTGGGGAATTCATACTTATTATACGCCAAAAAGTGCGTATATATGCACACGAAAAACGCGTAGGCGTACGTTACGCGGTAAAAAACCCCCACTTGTTTTAGCGTATTTCCCAACTGTCATTTTTGATCAATTGAATGTATACTTGCTTTATAAAAGTAGTACAAACTGTTAAACGGCAGTAACCAATACGATGAAGAAATATGTTTGGCGATTAACGAATCATACCTTTGAGGCTTTGAAGTTCAAACAGCCAATCGTTGGCATCGTCATCATCATCAGAGTCGTCTGAGGTGTCAAACTCAGCCTTCAGGTCTGATATCATAAGTTGCATATTGAATATTTGCAAAGATGCATAGGGCCTATGTATTATATTTCATCCCAAAAGCTGACTACTTGCCCTTTAATCTTCCTTTGCCTCTCTTTCCAGGAGGACCATGTCCGTGTCCGTGTCCGTGTCCAGGCTTCCCATGTTTACCATGCTGTCCTCCACGATTACGTTCTGAATTTTTATCATGTTCTTCATGTTTCTTATTCTTCAACTAATGAGAGGTGAGAAACTTGCTCAGAAAATGCGTTATTTTATCAATATCAGCTAAATGTCATTTATATTGGTATTTAAATATTCGAGAATATAAATAAAAAACATGGTTACTGTTTAGGCAAAGGTTTGATTTTGACCATCTTTTGACCATCTACAAAATCTTTAGAATTGTGCATTGCTGTTAGGCAAGTTTAACAAAACTTGGTTAGACATGTGGCTTTGATTTCTCTGCAATTTAGAGTCTAAATTATTTTGTAAAATAGCCTATATATTTGATATATATATATATATATATATATATATTAAATGTGTCTGCTTTAAAAAGAGAACAACCATAGGTCTGTAATATTCCAAAGGATTCATGAATTACTGCCATTTAAGTTTAGATCTATGCTCAAAAATGAAGTGACCGTTTACAGGTTAAGATGAACACAAGTCTGGTGTTGACAGTATAGTTATCGTATTGTAAAGTAATGAATCTATTATATATCAAAATATAATTGTTCATACACACCTGTGCAGGGATAATGACCGCACATAAAAAGAGGAGAAGCAGCCACAGTTTGAGCTTCATGCTGGCCGTTGGTCTCTGGAGGAGTGACACACTGCATACCTACTCTGAGTCTTACAGTGTATAAGGTCAGTGTCCTGTGAGTGTGTGGGTGTGTGTCTGTCTGTGTTCATCATTTATGTGTGAGGGACAGGAGCGTACAATTTAGTAGGTACGCTTGGGACGTGTCCCTACCAACATCCAGTGACACTGATATATCCCTAGCAATAATTTCGATCAAAACTTAAAATAATAATGTATACAATGATGTCCCCTTCCCCACCAATTTCAAAATCAAACCTACGCCCCTGGGTTTCACATGTATGCATGTGAGGATCCGAGGGTCTGTGCAACAGACAAAAGTCAACCCACTTATCACAAGTAATCTGTCTTTATACTGACTCACACTATTATCTATACTTCTTTAATATTTAAAAATATGTGAAAATAAAGTGCTTCTGAATAGTTTAATAAACAGCGAAGGTATCGACAAAATGTCCTGCAGAGAATGTTTCTGGATTAATGGATAGTCTGGCAGTTCACAGATCATATTGACAAAGCAGAACACTGTTTATTTCATTGTAGACTTTGGCCAAAGTGTGGATTGCGAGAGGTCATGCATGCAGAAGAGGAAATATATCAGGATAAATACCAAGGTAAAAGGCAAAAAGTACAATATATATTATATTATATTATATATTATATTATATTATATTATATTATATTATATTATATTATATTATATTATATTATATTATATTATATTATATTATATTATATAATAATATATTAAAGGCCCTACAAGAAATGTGGCTTTTAGTCCACATCTGTTTGAACTTTGAGGCCATTTGTATTTTAGTGTGCTACTAAAACAAAAACAAAAAAAGGGGGGGGGGGGGGGGTAAGTTAGGTAAATTAGTTCCATTTACCTGCAAGAGAGATGTTGTAGCTGGGAATGACGTCTCACCTGAGTTGACTGTGTTCCAGTAAACAAGTCAGAAAACTAAGATGGACTTGTCCAAGCAAAACTTGTCTTTCGGAATACAAACACATAAGAAGTGGTATTTTGCAAAGATAATGCTGAAGAATTATGTTCACAGTTCGGATAGTATAATATGTGGACCACTGAGTTTATTGTGACAAAAACAATCAGAAATGCTAATAAACAACATATTACTAGTGTTTCACTATGGCTAATGCTCTGAAAAGCCATATTGGATTCTGAAGTTGTGGTTGTTTCACTTCCCCCTAGTTTCCCAGTCGCAAATGCACTTTTAGGTGGCGTTCCATTTAAAAGTTCCTACGGGGATTTCCCGCGTCTGAGAACAAATGGAGTGCACCATTACTATATTACTCTGGCCTCTTGTTTGCTTCTGACTAGCAAACGCAAGTAAAAAAATCTTTAAATTCTTCTGCTTAAAACAATCACAGGCCTTCAATAGCCTATGCAACTGAAAATGCCTCATGTACTTCAGGAGTAACACACAAAGGTCTAATTTCTTTCTTTTATATGTAGACAACATCCATATGTTACTAAAAGTAACAAATCCTCAAAGTACCAAATGTCAAAATAATCTTTGTAACCTGTGTCTATTTTAATTCTAGTCCCATGTGTGTTAAAAGTAGTTGAATGCCTCTACAGCATCTTCTGTATCTGACCACAAGAGGGCACTAGACTTTGTCTTTCCCATTTAGATGCACTGTTACCATACGTCAGCACTCAAAAATAGCTTTTTAAAATACAATTTTCCATAACAACAAACTAAGAGTTCTAAAAATTATAAATTAATATTGAGATTTTTGTTATGGTAGCCAAAGTAGGCTACCATTTACTACTTACTGCATAAGTAGTAAAATATGCACTTTAATCACTGTAACATGGGCTATTTTCTCCGTGGAAACCCATTTCTAAATAAATGATATTGTATCTTTGCATCATTTTAATCTCCTGCCATTCATAATGTATTGCAACACTAGACACATAAACAAACACTCTGCCTTTTCTTCTGTGTTGTTTTCAGAGCAATCTCCAGCTGCCTCTAATTTGTGCATCAGTCACATGATAAAGCTATGATGAAATAGTGGAAGCTGACCTGCTCGCTGTATTTCTGCTATTGGCCAATAGACGATTGTTTAGTTCTGGTGATGTTATGTATGTTTGTTTAATCTGGTTTACCATTTTCCAAATGTAGGTTTACTTATAATAAAAAATAAATGAATTAATTATGAGAAAATAATAATAAATGTTATTTAATAAGTGCTCACAGTGTTACAGTGTAGCTGTAGCTGTACTGGAGTCAGGACAGATGGTCGGCTCTATTGCGTAATCTGTTTCTGCTATAAATCGTTTACAGAATGTGATATTGCGTGTTTATCCTCCTCGTCAGTGTTCCACAATCACTTTCATTGCAGGTGCTTAGGCTGATGTATTCACTATGACCTACTTCAAGTTATCCTCGAGGGAGATCTAAAACAGCGAAATAAACCAAAACCTTGGTCTCATGGGCCTTGTACTTTAAAATTAGACACATTTAATAATACTTAAGACTGACAAGCCATTTCAGGTTCTTTTTTTATTTACTTCTATATGAATATGTGCTTACTTATGCCAGGTTTGCTGTCATTTATTAATGTGTTTTTACACATGCTCATGACTTGCTTCTAAAATCAACATGAAAATCAGCTGCCTGAATGTCATAAAATCAGGCAAATGTCTGAAATCTGGCAATTCTTATTATAGCAACCTTTAAAATGTAGTTTTGCTTCCCATGCTGCAATCTACCTCAATTATGTCCCTTTCCAGTGTGGCAGCCAGGTTACATTAAGTGGTACAAATCTGGCTAATATCAAAGTCCCCCATGACTTTCTGTTTTACTTGGTTTCTATCAACAGAGCCAATCTAATTTTCCTGAAAGAGAAAGAGCAGTTCTCCAGAGTGAGATGATTTTATTTCTCTCCTGCTGTGAGTGTGCAGTTTATGGCTGTGGATGGCCCTCTGAGAATGTTGTTGACATCTTACCCAGATGATACATCTTTATTTGTCTTCGGCATACAGTCATTTTCTATTGTCCTATGTAATTGTCACAAATGATTCCCTGCACAATGCATTTAGATACAGTTCAGTTTCACCAGAGTAAAGGAATGATGGGGAAATCTTGATGTCCGTTTCACAGATAAACAATCCATAGATTAATGCTTTATTGACAATATGTAGGCTATTGTAAGTTGCGGTAGTCATTTATTTTGACGTATAAGTGAAGCTCCTTTTCAAACAAGAAAAAATGTAGGGCGGGACTTGATTTAATTTTTGTCCATCGGGAATTGATTGGATGGTTGTGGTTTGCTATTGCTCTGTGATCTCATGTGAGTGACAGGTCCCGCCTTCGTGCCAGTAAAGAGCCATCAGAGAAGAGATGTCACTGCAAGAGGGAGAGGAAGTTATGCTGCATTCATTTCATAATTACTGTAAATAAAGCTCGGTCTGCACAGCACCGCTTCAAGTCGAACACACCTTAAATCTGCAGTGATCCGGTGGTACAGCCGTAGTCGTAGCTCTCTGAAAATTACATGTTGTTGGCTAATTACAAGTTCTACTGTAGCATATGAAGGAATTTTGCAGCTCACCTGTATTTTGATTAAAGATTACGAGGACACATGAATTTAAAAAAATGTGCACGGATAAATAATTTAGAGTAAATACTATAGTATATTCTGGCTTAAAGAATAAGAATGGCCAGTTTTTGTATCATGGTGACTTCCAAGCTTAATTCATATGTTTAAAAAAAAACTAAAAAAATGATAAAAGTACAACAAAATGAATAAAAACAAAAGCTAATATAAAATATATTAGCTAATATAAAATAAATAAGCAATATAATAGCAAGAGAAAAAGAGAAAATTACTTTTCTTATGTTGAGATCATGAAAAAGTATTACATCTTTTGTCTTCGGCAGAAGAAAGAATGCACACATGTTAGGAATCACATGAGCACCTTGCTAATTGATGACAGAATTGTAATTTTTGGGTGGATTATTCCTTTATTTTATGACCTTGACAAAAAAAAGGACCATATATACAGTATATAGAACCATTTTTTTTGGTAAAAGGTTCTTTTGGCCAATTATGGAAACCTTTTTTTATAAACCCTTTTTTAAAGAGTGTATAGAACCTTTTAGGGGTTCCAAATACGTAGCGCTGATAGAACCTTTTAGGGTTGGGTTCTATATAGAACCTTTTCTTCTAAGAGTGTCGACAAATTAATAGAGCGCTGTCACTTTAAATGTTAGACGAATAGGAGTTTCCCTATCCTACTATGTTAAAGGACTGGCTCTTGAATATTAATTGAATCACGTGACCGATTGGGCGCGCCAGGAAGGTTACCAATCAACGCTAGCGCAATCTAATTAATATTCATAATCCAAACCTTCTCCGTAGTAAGATTCGTCATTTCGCTCTGAGCTCAGCTGGAGCATCAGTAGGGAAGGGAACTGCACATTGTTTTGGATAGGACTTGAACTGTCATTCCCCCCGTGTGCATCTCTGAGAGAAACAAAGGCGAAACGACAACAACAGCACGACTTAGGCTATTGCTCGGAAACGCATGCTCGAATCATGCAGTTATTTTTGCGACCATGTTGAAACAGTTTACGAACATAACTGCACATCTGTATCTCATATGTCGCAATTTCTGGAACGATATAAATTATATGGTTTTGGCTTTATTTGGAATAACGCGCTGCGTACAACCTCGAGAGCTGACTGGAAAAAAGTTCCTTTACATATCGGGTACTAAATTCCTGCATGGTGGCAATGACAACAAACTACACATTGTAGCAAAACCATGAGGAGCGTTTCTGTGCTCTGTGAAGAATTTAGATTTAAAAATCTGAAGTCTAATGAAGACTGTAACCTCATCTCTATGCTTAGATCAGAGGAGAACGGGAGGATGGATTTTGGCAGAAGAATGTCTCCAGCCTTCTCCACGAAGTGTTTCCTATTTAGGACTGAGGAGCTCAGGACGTACCTTTTCACGTTTGTGATGTTTTACCTGTTAATATGCACTGAAGGATCCTATTCTAAAACCTGTGATAACTGCATCTTTGGAAGATGTATCAATGGAACTTGCGTCTGTGACCAGGGATGGGCTGGAGATCAGTGTCAACATTGCCAAGGGAAATTCAAGTGAGTAACGCTTTCCCCCCTGGGTAACAGGTTCATTGTTTGCAAACAACGTTTGCATGTGGCGTTACATTAAGTCGGATTATACGAGTGTGGAATCGGTAAAAACGTTTTCCCTCTTGATAAGTGTTTACTTTACTGTTATTAAGAGCGCAAAGGCCAGAAATAAGCGTTTTCGTTTTTTTTTATCGACTTGCCTGTTGTTTTTGCATACAGCATATTCAGAAGGAATCCAAGATAGTCCAAGATAAAAGGGACATAGGCTAACCATATAAAAAAGAGCTTTTAACGTTCATAGCACCTTTGCATTGCTCAAAATGTTTTTTATAGTGGAAAATTGGTATTTATGTTATTAAAATGTTCTAGACATTATGAAAAATAAAATGGTTATTTTAGGAGCTGCTCACTGAAAGGTTCTTTGGGGAACCAAAACGGGTATTCTTGCATTTCTGCAAAAAAAAAATGCAAATAATAAAAATGCTTTATTTTATTAGTCAGATACTGAGTCTAGAATTAATGAAAGGTTACAACAACAAGCCTAATGTGTTGTCAAGTCAGAAGACAATGTAGATCATTAACTCTTCATCATGTCATATAACTCATAAGAAATTACACATTTGTATCTATAAAATCAGGCACAACATAACAGATGGTATAGGTATTGAGATTGTGGATTCCAGTCAGGTCTAAGTTGAAGTTTCCTTTTGCAGAAATGTATATTCGAGAACTCTTTTGACCGAACCAGTGAACATTTCTTTTCACAATTTGCCAAAACCAGATTGTCTGGCCAATCCTTCACATCACTTGTATAGCACAAAACCTTTACCTTATTTCCACAGTTTCATTTGTGTTTATTTGACTTCTCCAAAGGAATTTAAATCAAATATAACTGAGAACTCAATAAAATCTCCTGATCTATGAATGAGCATCTCTGAGAATTGCATTCTCAGTGTTGTAAACTTAATGCACATTCAGTGGTTAAGTAGTCGAATTTAGAGGTATACTTGCATCGGTGCTTGAAAATGGTTTCCTGGAGTTCCTTGTGCTCCTCTAGTAAGGGATAATGATATGGTCTGTTTGAACTGGCCCTGTGACTCTGCTCTCTTGGAAGAATTGGCCATGCTGATTATGTTCAATCATATGTAAGTGACATGTTGTCTTTTGCTAATGTAAAGTCGTATTTCTGGTTGTAGAGGAAGTGTGAAAATACAGTAGACTCTTATGCGTTGTTTTCAGAAGTACTTCTCAAAATTTGGGTACTCTAATGCTGTCCTTTTATATCTTTGACAATCTCCACAATGTCTATTTCACTTCAAAAAGCCTTGAAATCTGCCATAGAAGTGCTTGTCATTCAGAGATTTAAGGAAAAGTTTACCAAAAATGTACGCACTCTCATATTGATCAAAACCCATTTGAATCTCTTTTTACTGTGGAGCACAAAAGGAGAAATTCTATAGCTTTGTACTACTAAAGAAGAATTTCATCATTTGTTACTTTGGGGGGTGCTTTCAAGCTTTTAAAAAAAAAACAAAAAACAAAAACAAACTCAAAGCCCCAATATTCTTCTTCTTTTTTATTTTTTAAGTTCCACAATAACTTTCAGTTGTCACGGGGTCTGGTGGAAGCAGAAGGAACAGGCTGAGTCCAAATACAAATAAAGATGATTTTTACTTCCAAAACACATGCCAAGGTAAAGGGAACAGGAGCAAACACCGGGTAACATCAAACATTGACCCGACAAAGACTGACTGAATGAGGGAGAACTAAATACAAGCAGGAAACAGACATAATGAGGTGAGAACAGGTGACACAGATGATAAAGATGAGGAACAGGTGGCTGATGAGGGAGTGAGTTCAGGAGTGGAGACAAGAGGATCCTGGGAAGTGTAGTGCTGATGACAAGACAGACTGGTGCAGACAGAGGACTGTGACATCAGTGCAGAAAGAGACCAAAATTCAACTGAATGAAAATTCAATGAAAGCTTTGCCAATGCATGTCATAGTGGATGATTATTACTTATGGGCAGACAGACATACAGTAGAAAAGTAGTTCTGGAATACTATAGTTAAATAGTAGATGATAGAAAAGAAAACCTTCACTATGAAAAGGAGGATGGATTATGGTTTGGATGGATTGAACAAGATTATTGTAGAGTTGCTTGTGCGCACTGCAACTTTGGCCTCGATAGTTGAGGAGTTGCTGTGTAGTACCTGACAGTTTTTATTCATAACCTGGTTTGTTTCTAATACCATAACAAACTTTGCACATTCGCTTTGATAAACATCTTTTTAGATGGCAACATTTCTCCCATATTTACATTTTGGTGTGATTCTCCTTGTGACTGCTTGAGTCAAACCGACAGAGAAAGAAAGAATTTGTTTTTTGATATGTATTTTTTTTTGTATTTTGATATGGTTTGCGATTCCAAACTTAACTATGATTGACAGATAGATAAATGGATAAATGGATTGACAGACTGAGAAGGAAAGAATGTGTTAATCTGAAACCAGTGTATTGTGAGTTTGAGTATACTTAACTCTACTCAAATGTGAATGTTGTCTTACCAAGGATGGACAGGCGATGTCAGTGTTTAAAAAGTACATTAAGTGGCCTTATTGTGGTTTATGAAAAGCGCTATAAAAAAAAAAACTGACTTGGGAAAATTGACTTAAACTTTACTTTCTGGATATGTTGCAGGTTATTGCAGGAAGATTGCATGCCTTAATGCTTGACATGAATTGTTTAGAAACATGTTATGCTGTCTCGCTGTAGTGGTTTGCTTTTAGAGTAAAAATGATCTATTCTCCAGTTATAATTTATTTACTTCATCCCTGACCATACTTGGTTGTCCTGAGGGAGTCAAAAATAGCTTTTCAGAAATTTTCTCCTGCTGATGGACTTTTGCTGTAATTCAACTACTGCTGTAGGCACTCTGCCAGTGGGAAATCATGTAATTGCCTTACTTAAAACATCTTAAAAGAATAGAATTGGAAAAAGATGAAAAATGTGAATCTTAGACCTTCAAGGGTCATATAGTTGATGGCAGAATTTTGTCTTACAATTGAATTTCCTCTCATTTTAGACCACTAATATTGTTATGATTGAAAAATTTGTGTTAGTAGTATTGAAAATGGATCAGGAAGCTGAATGCACAATGATAATCATGTTTCATTTTTTCTTTGGTTGTTAAAAGCATGTTGTTGCAGTTATCATCAGGGTTCTGGTCATTTAGAATGAATTTTCACTTTTTTGAAAGCAGAATAAATGCAATAAAATGCTAAATGCACATTTAGCGATCAATGTGTTGTTGGATCAGATACTAAATTAACTAAATAAAGCAAATATATAACTTACAATATGAAAGTCAGTTTCAAAACTTGTCTGGCAAATAGGGTAATTTTGATTACCATAATAAATATATAAGCTGTAAAGGATATTTTTGCTCGGTTTCACAGACAAGGCTCTGCATAGTCCCAGACTAAAATGCATGTTTGAGCTTGGTCATCTCAAAATATGCCATTGCTTATTACATTGCACACAGTATTTTTTTTAAATGCTAATTAAATTAAATAATTTATTAATAATGTCCATATATATCCAGAAATTACCAGTTCTAAAATAATACACATGTAGTTAACATACATCATGTATTTATTTAGGTAGAAACAACAAAGTTGTGATCATAATGTTTACAATATATAGAAAGTTTGGCAGTCGTATATGTGGATGACATCTTGTACAGCAAATTGTGGATGCTGTACAATGGTGGTGGGTGAGGAGAAGAACCCCTGATATATGATTGTAAATTGCTTTGTGTGTAGTATTAGTAAATTGCAATAAATGCCTCATTTCATTTCATTACATTTAATTTCAAGGAAATAGAAAATAGTTAGCCTGTAATTGCTGTTCATAACATTTCAAGCAACAGATATACATATGTTTCATCTGATATATCTGGAGAGTATAGGATATCCAATTCTACTAAAGGTGGGAGAGCATTTTCACGTTTGGCTCCTAAACTCTGGAATAGCCTTCCTGATCATGTTCAGGACTCAGACACACTCTCCCAGTTTAGCCAAGCATTCACATAATAGCCCTTATCTCATAACCTTGCATTTAACTAGAATGTCATGAAATGGCTTCAAGTTACATTTTGCCTGGCAACAACTTATACATTCCTAATAAATTATTTGATATTAAAGCAGCTATGTTCACAGTTTAAACAAATAAACAAGCATACTTCAGCTTGTAACATCAACTTGATGGAACCTGGACACATCATCAGCGATGTTACCTTGGGTCACGGAGTGTTTCGGGTCTGACCAATTAATATTTTATTCATGTTCTAAAAGGATTATTATCAATGTTGAAAACAGTTTTTGCTGCTTAACTTTTTTGTGGAAACAAAGAGATATTTCGAACATTTGTGGTATGAATTTCTTTTTTTATATTCTTTATTTTCGTTATTTTTCCACAAGCAAGAAAACAACAACAAAAAAGGGAACAAAACATCAACAAAACACAATCAAAACAGACAAAATATAAATAAATAAATTACTCAGTATAGAGAAACACCGACATTACAATCTTTGTTACAATAAAGTATTGAATGACTTGAACCCAAGGGATACATTCTTATACATTTAAGTGGTATGAATTTCAAATGCACAGTACAAAAGACTGTGAGTCTGTGAGTATTAGTAACAAAGATATTAAAAAGGGTATAAAAGTTTAACTATTGTAAACTTTAACTATTATACTACTAATTATTAACTATTGTTAATATATCCAAACTCGTTGAAAACTGATATTTAATTGTGTACATAGTAGTGACCCATACATAATAACTTTTTACCTCGTCATTGGATATGGCTCTAATGCCACAAAATCCAACAGACCAGACTGATCTCATGAAGTAGCGTGTGTATGACACGCCAATTCGTATTTCCATTTTTGGCGTGCTATCAACACGCATAATCGCTTTTCAGCGTGCTTATGAACG